GCCAAGAAACTCATTAGTTCCACTATGACAATTTTAAATGTAGAATAAATACCATGTCATATACTATTTTCAAGAAATTTAAAAGCCTTAATAAATGTTAAACATCTTGGGTTTTACAGTTATATCGAAATATGCTCCTATTGATCTCTCAACTACGTTTATAAACCCATAAGATTATAATTCTCATTACACAATAGCATAAGGACATATCAATTACAAATATTTTCACTTCTCTCTGTATTTTTCGATTTTGAGTCTGCAATGCTTTAGGAATCCAAAAAGACATAATTTTACATTAAATACCATATTTCAAATCAGTTATAAGCCTTTTCACCCCTCATATTCTCCCATATATATTTCAATCCTATATGTCCAATTTAGGGGAAACAGAAGTTTAACGTAGGTAGGGTAGAGTAATACGTTTTGTTTTTTTTTCCTTTTTTGTTTCATTAAATCTTGATTTATTGATTCGATGTCTAATTATGGGGATGATGGAAGTTAAAATTATATAAAGTGGGTAAAACTTTTGTTTCCTTTTTATTTAAAAATTGGAAATACATTTTTTTTTTTTTTAGAAAATACTTCTGTATTTTCATTTTCGCAATTCATTATATTTTAGATTAGTACATAAGTATGTATATATACAAATCCAAGGTTATAATTTCTTTTATATGTTCCTAACTTTTTTGCAGTATTTAATTCATTTGTTTTTTAATTAGCATATAAATATGTATATATACAAACTCAAGGCTATCCTTTCTTTTATGTGTTTCTATTTTTTATTTTTTGATATTTAATTTTTGGTTCGATAGTGAAGTAATAACAATTATATAATTTTCTTTTTCCTTCTAGCAAAGTCACACTTTTATCATTTTTCTTAAATATTATAGTGTCATACTTTCGTCAATATTTCACAAATGATTATGTTATAATTCATAATATATTTATATTTATAAAACTTAACAAATATTGATCATATAAATTCAAAACACAAAATCATTCATAAAGTTTAAAATAACAAAAAATTGAAAGAGAATTGTTGTGCACATATTTTAATAATCGGCTTTCTAGAATATACGTCGGCTGAGTTGCATAAACGTGATTAATTTGATGATCATTTCACTGTGTGGTAAGTAAATATACATCTAAGTAATAATTTTAAGTTTGATCAAATTAATCAATCAATATGTTGTATGTTATTATTTAAAAAATGTTTCAAGATTTATTTTTAAATATTATGTAGTATGACTAGTATGGCGGAGTAGTGTATCGATTTTCAATTATTAATCCCTTGTTAGTATTGATGATTTATTAATTAATAATATGGTTTTCACACAGGTATGGTGTTTGGACAGTAGGGCAAACGATCCCGGAGTTTATACGTTTTCGAACCCCTCAAACTATAAAGCAATGAGGCTGCTAAAAAGGATCAATTATTCAAATGAGTATTTCATTTTTCGGTAAGTATATATAGATACAAATAATAATTTAATAATTCAATATATATGTATATAGTGAGGAAAAAGTGTGTGAGAATTTACTTTTCACCATTAATATACAATATTGTTGGTATGGCAGAGCAGTGCAGCGAGCTTCCCGATGGTGTTGTCATGGAGAAAATGAGCAAGTTGAGCACCTGCACGGACAATGGATATGCCGATTACATTCGTAATCAGAATCCATTAAATTTGGGGTAATTAAGTTGTTTCTTTATTATCTCCATATATTTTGAAAAATAATTAAAGTAATTAGTTTTTTTTAAAATTTAGATTGCAGGACGTTGAACTTCTCAAGCTCGTACGACTTCTCTTAAAAGCTGATCCAAATTTGCGTATCGGAGTGGATGAAGCCCTTTGACATCCATATTTTGGTGGTTCCACATATATTAGGTAATAATTTAATATTTACATCATTAATTGTAAGAAATGATATAATCTCAATCTTCTTATCTAGCTTAATTCAATTTTTGGTGATGTTAAATGATTTTTTCCATTATATCAGCATGTTCTATTACTGCGATTTTTTTGACATCTGCTATGCTTTTGAGTAGCATTTGGTACGGGTTGAAAGCTTATAGGAGTAACAAGAACTCCAAAAAGAAGAAGTAAAACAAGAAGTAGAGCATCTTAGCCATGTATTTTTTAAAAACTTTGGTTCATTTATCTTTTTAGCACAATATTAAAGAAGTTTTTCATAATGTTGGCACTATGTGAATTTCGTAAACATTATTTTTTCCTAGCACAACAAATAAAGTTGCAAATTGTCTGAAAACAACATCTTTTTACAATTCACATTTCCTCATAATTTCAAGTGGCTAGGTTGCATTGTATTATATATCCACTTGTATAGCAAGTCAAAATAAGCTCAGTATACACAATCATATGAAATTTAAAATACCTTTTTATGCATAATTATTTAACATTAAAGTTTTTAAATCGAGAATGCAAATGCAGGATCGAGAAGAGATGGGAGAAATGGAAACCATATTGAGTCATATTAACCTTCAAAAGCAACGTTTCAATTTATTAATTTTTTTTTTAAAAATAAATAAATATATATATTTATATTTATGCATTTCCTTAAGAATAAAAAATAAAGTCAACTAGCAATCAATTTTTTATTAACAAATTAAGTATCAACAATTTTACAATAGTTAACTTCAAATATCAATTTCCAAGAGGAACCCAAATATATATATATGCCGATGTACGTCAAGTAAAAGAATCCGTCATGTTCCTTATTTTCCTCGAGCAATAGTTGAAGACACAATATTCTTGACAAATATGGTCTTTTTTTTAAGCACAATAAGTGTTTCATTATGAAACACATCATAACTTAACATTATTTTAAGTTTTTAAATGTGTTGTACTTTGATGTTATCCTCATTTTATTTTTCATTCGCATCGAAAATCGTTTCAAAATATCAAATCAAACTAAAAGTAGAAAAAATCGAACCGAATCAAACTAATTCTATTTAATATTCAATACACACTTTTTGAAAACCTAAAATCAAAAAACCGAATCTCCACCCCTACTGAATTCCCTTTCAATTTGTTTGCCTACTTTCGATTTTTCACATTATATATTCACAATAAAAAAATTAAACATTTCCTTAACGGTGTCGTCATAATGCAATTACCTTTTTTTTTTACTCTCTTTATATTTTTGTATAGTATAATTTTAAAGAGGTCACAATCCTAATTGTCAAAATATTAGTGGAGCGTGACACGTCTTTTATTGTTTATCCCTCTCTGTAAGGGGCCTGATCCTGAGACTCGTCATGGCACGGTGGCGGCAAAGAGTTGGCATGAATGACTTTGTCAAGGGCCTAGGTGCAGGGTGAATCAATCATATGGGCAAGGTGTTGGCATTGCTTAGTTGATGCTAAGAAAGTTGACAAGGCAGTGTCATGACATGACATAGGCGTTGGCAAGGCAGCAGGCCATGGCATGGCATGAACGCTGGCCGACGTCGGTTGTGGGCAAGTTGGCATGTGGAAAAGTACATAGTCTAGTCAAGTGCGGGAAAATCGAGCTGAGCTAAATTGAAGCATAAACAAATGCAAATCAAATGCAACAAGAAAACAATGAATGGCACGAGTGGAACAAAAATTAGCATGGCCAAGAAAAACGCAGGCAAGGCACAACGGCAGTGCGCAGGCATGAAAATGGGGGGCAGGACCCGAGCTGACTTTGATCAGGAAATGGTTAGGCAACGTCTAGACATTGCTTTGGCGCCAAAAATATGGAGAGAAATGGCAGCAAGGGGCGAATTTCGGCCAGCCCATGACACATGCCAAGCACATGTGTTACTTTTTGTAACCGTTTTTTGTCCAGATTCATTGTATCTTTTATATTGCCTTTTGAATTCAAAATTTGAGTGCTTATCAATTGGGGATGTCAATTGAAGTTTAGTTTTTGATGGCCCTTGATCACGACAAGTGTAGGACATGGGTCGGAAGCCTATGCAATGTAAACCAAAGGTTGTCACATGGTCTATAAATATGCAGCCTTGGTCTTGAACAAAAATAGAGAGTGAAAGAGGGAAGAATTAAGTCTTGAATTTCATGAAGTACACTAAGAAGAAATGTGAGTGTTTCAATAGTGTCATATGCAGCAATCGACTTGTGATTGTGCCTTAGTCGAAGTCAAAGTTGTGGCAGAATTGTTTTCATAACGAGTGAGGTCCTTTGTATTGTTTTGGAAATTAATATAAAGGTTGGGTTTGCCCGTATTTCTTGTGTGTATTTTAATTGTTGACATCAAAAATAATTCTAAGGCAAAACAGTAGGCGTTATCGAACTTTAGGCAGACTTTACTGCAAAACAGGCTGAGTTAAGTGTGGGACTTGACTGCCGCACAGTGGTTTAACCTAATCTGCCTTGTGACACTCTCCATGGTAAATATAGTGTAGTAAAAGCCCAAAACTTGTGCTGAACAGAGCTAGGGTTCATCGTCTCCGGTTGGCAATTGCTATTTGCTACTGCTGTTGTTTTCTCCCCGTCGATATGGCCAGCCATAGGTACTATTTCTCTCTTCTCTTTTATTTTCATGCAATATAGTTTTCGAAATTATGAAGAAGAAACAATAGAGTAAAAACCTTTTTTTTTTTTGCAGGGGTAAAAATATGATGAAAAAACAGATTAGGGCTTGGAATGGGAGGAATTTTATGATATTTGGATTTTTAATTGCATGTATCGTTGGAATTCTTATCAACCTTAAGGTAGCTAAGTCTAAACCTAAATTTAAACCTGAATCTGAATCTGGAAAGAAGTTGATGGAAAAATTATTAAGAGACTTGAATTCTCTGCAAAAAAAAACAATGTTGATTCCAACTCCAACTCAAAATTGTCACTTTGCTACGTCGCAAGGAAGAAGGTCATACCAGGAGGATCGAGTAACATGTGACCTAAATTTTACGATTCCTCTGTTTGGTAATGTTTAATTAGCTTGAATTTATAATATGCATACATATACCACCTCCAAACACACACTTGTTGTATGAGCTTTGACATATTAGACCATGATGTAGGGCGTGGCAACGACGTTGAAGAGGTGAGGGTTGGGGCAGTGGCAGTATTTGATGGTCATATTGGTTCCTCTGCTAGTAATATGGCTGCAAGGATATTTTTGGACAAGTTTATGGTTAACCTCAATAACAACAGTATTGAACAATCTTCTGACTTTAAGGAAATACTAAAATCTTCTTTAGTAACAACCATTGATGATATTGATGCAGAATTCACCAAGGCAAGGACAATACTAGTGATATTTTTTTCTTTTTGTTTAACTTCTTAATGACTTGGCTGTTCACATTCTTTAGGTTGCTTTCGAATATCATCTTTATGCGGGTTCTACTGCTGTTGTTGCCCTCATATATAACAATCATGTTTTAGTTGCAAATGTTGGTGATTCAAAGGCTTTTCTTTGCTATCAGAAAGAAATATCTCATGAAGACGATGAGGGTGATATTTTCTTCTCTTTTGTTGTTATGCCCTTCTATTATTACGAGTTTGATACTTCCTCTGTTTTCCTTTTCATAATGATGTTTGTAATTTTTTTGAACGAAATTTTTAAGTTTCCCTTGAAAGATAGTAACACCCCAATTAAGATTATATGGAGAAGCAAGCCATGGGTTCAGATCCTGCCACAAAGAAAAACTTGGTAGTTAAGTGGAGAAGGATAAAGTGGTCGACCTATTATTCACCTAGTTTCGAACTTTGCATCATTGGCCTAGTAGTAGTATTGTCATCCCCAGGGATCAGATAATACTGTACGTTATAGTTTCTCAAATATCCTATTCCCAAGAGTTTATGTTTTTCAGAATAATTTTAGTATTGCAGGTTACAAATACTGCTGCTGAAATAGTAGATGTTAATATTGTATTTTGATTTGTGTTCTGAGACATCATTGTGTAGATGCTGCTTCCTTGGGTGATCTTTTCGCCAAGGAGTTGACGAGTGATCATAATGCACATAGGTTGGACGAGAAGGCTAGGGTTGAAGCTTCTGGAGGTGTATTTAAATCCATCCTTGATTTTGTTCCTCTTCTCATGGGCCACTTTCCCATGACTCGAGCTATTGGTGATGTTCCTTTGAAAAAGTACGACTTCTTGAAGGCGGTTAATCTGTTCAATGCATTGCAGTTCCTGTTTCATGATTACATAAGTGTGTGTGTATTTGATACATATAACATGTGAATATCATAACGTTGATGGATTTGTTGTGCTATTTTTTCAGATATGGCATCATAGCTGATCCAGAGGTGACTGATTGGCTATCTTTAACTTCAAAAGATGAGTTTTTGGTGGTGGCATCTGATGGAATATTTGAAAGTGTAACTCCCCAAGCAGTGTGTGATTTTCTAAATGAAGTAGAGGACTATTCAAATCCATCATTATTGGCTCATCAACTCATTCAGAAAGCATATTTAGAAGGCAGCAATGATAATTTATCAGTCGTTTTGGTTCCATGGGGGTTTACCCAGTGCGCAAGTGCTCATCCAAAGGGCAGAGAGGCTGTGGCAGAGGCCGTATCGGTTGCGGTTATCGTTCCAAAAAAAACTCTCATCTTGTTAAATAGTCGTGATTTGGTGATGGGAAGTTTGAACCTTTGCTATTTAAGTGGACAAGGATGGATAAGGACACTTCTCTCGACATTTTCCAATTTTGAGTCTGCAATGCTACATTGAAGAATCTAAAAAGACGTGATTTTACATTAAATATTATATTCCAAATCAGTTATAAGCCTTTTTCACTTCTTATATTCTCCCATATATATTTCAATCGTATATGTCTAATTTATGGACAGGGGCAACAAAAGTTTAAATTAGATAGGGTGGAGTGATACATTTTTATTTTTTTTTGCCTTTTTTGTTTCATTAAACCTTGATTTATTGATTTAATGTCTAATTATATGGATGATGAAAGTTAAAATTATATAAAGTGGGTAAAGCTTTTGTTTTCCTTTTTATTTATCAATTGGAAATACTTTTTTTCTTTTTTTTTTTTGTGAAAATACTTCTGTTTCATATTTTTATTTACACAATTTATTTATATTTCAAATTAGTACATAAGTATGTATATATACAAATCCAAGGTTATAATTTCTTTTATATGTTCCCAACTTCTTTTGCAGTATTTAATTGATTTATTTTTTAAATTAGCACATAAATATGTATATATACAAATTGAAGGTTATCATTTCTTTTAAATGTTTCTATTTATTTTTTTGTGATATTTAATTTTTGGTTCGATTGTGAAGTAGTAACAACTATATTATTTTCTTTTTCCTTCAATTCTAGCAAATTTGCACTTTTATTACTTTTTTCTTAAATATTAGAGTGTCATACTTTTTATAAAGTACGACAATATTTTACCGTCATCTCACCAATGATTATGTTATATTTCATAATTTATTTATATTTATACAACTTAGCAAATATTGATAATGTAAATTAAAAACAGAAAATCATTTCGTGAAGTTTAAATTAACAAAAAAAATTGAAAGAGAATTGTTGTGCACATATTTGAATAAACGGCTTCCTATAATATACATCAGCTGAGCTACTTAAACACGATTATTCTGATGATCATTCCATTGTGTGGTAAGTAAATATACATCTAAGTAATAATTTTTAATTTGATCAAATTAATCAATCAATATGTTGTATGTTATTATTAAAAAATGTTTCAAAATTTATTTTTAACAATGTAGTATGACTGGAATGGTGGAGCAGTATATCGGGTTTCCTCAAATTGTGAAAGTAAAACACATGAAGAGGCTCGCAACATGCACTGACGATGGATATGCCGATTACATTCGTAATCAAGATTCATTTCATCTCAGGTAATAGTCATTACATTATTTTATTTTCATAAGGTCACAAGCTCATCTCTAAGTTGAAAGTATCAGTAATTTAAAGAAAAAACATAAATTGTATTTATAATCTTAAAAAAATAAAATTATTTATTTATATGCTTGTTTATTTTACAAACCTAACAAATTGTTTTAAATATTTTATTCTTAATTTTTTCCTAAAATTGTAAAGGTTTTTCAAACATAATTGATAGATGAAATGTTATTTTGTTGTTTCTATTTTATCGAGTAATAACTTAATACTTCCACTATTAATCTTTAACAAATATATTTTCAAGTTTTATTAACTAGTTTAATTTACTATTTTGGTAATGCTTATTGAATTGTTTCACGTATTGCAATGTGACATTTATCTATGGTTATCATTTGATACGTGCAAAAGCAAGAAAAATAAGAATTGAAATTTAATATGGACTGGCCTAGTTACATCATGTGTTTTGAAAATTATGGGGAGAGCCCAATCTGACCCTTATATTTTGACGGATCAGAAAAACATCAAATTGAACCATGCACTCCGTGGATTGGGGGCTGCGATAGTTCATGCCACATTTTAAAAATAAATATGTTTTTTCAATTTTTTTATGTTAGATGATTATGGTAAGAATGAAAAATCATTAATGCAATTGGACAAAAATTAGAGGGTTTTCCTATTTTCGATAGACGCCACACTATTTAATTTTTACGATATGTTCTTCTCTCGTGAATAGTGAAATATTATCCCGTTATTAATGAATAATATTAATCAATGCTATGGTTTCTTTTCAAACAGATAGGATTCTTGGAATGTTGGTCTTGTTATCATGGAGTTCATACTTGGGGCATCGAATGTTTTGGACTTTCAATACTATATGTCACATGAGTTGCTTAATCATGATCACTATATTAATTAAAAAATGTGTCAAGATTTATTTTTAATTATTATGTAGTATAATTGGTATGGTAGAGATGTGTATTGGGCTTCCTCAACTTGTGAAAATAAAACAAATGAAGAAGCTTGCAACTTGCACCAAATATGGATTTGCCGATTACGTTCGTAGTCGGGATACATTTGGTCTCGGGTAATAGTCTAGTGTTTCACAAATGTAATTTTTGTATTCATTCATTTATATTAAAAATCAATTAATTAATTATTATTATTATTTCAAATTTTAGATTTCACAACGTTGAGCTTCTCAAGCTCGTACCTCTTCTGATGAGCGTTGATCCTGATTTGCGAATCAGAGTGGATGAAGAACTCCGACATCCATATTTTGTTGATTTCAGATATACCGAGTAATAATTTAATATTTACACTGTTAATTTAAGATATATATTTTCGACTTTTTTTCTAGTTCAATTTAATTTTTGGTGATGTTAATTGATTTTTTTTCATTTTTGCAGCATGTATAATTACTTCACTTTTTTGACATTTGATGTGCTATTGGGCAGCATTGGGTATGGGTTCAAAGGTGTGGGTTGAGAGGTGCTACGGGTTGAACAGAGCATTGGTTCCTTTTATCTTTTTTAGAACAATATTAAAGAAGTGCTCATAACACTACGTCTACTATGTGATATGTGAATTTCGTAAATATATATTTTCCTACATATCACATAGTAGGAACACTACGCTTACTATGTGAATTTCGTAAACATATCCTTTTGTTAAAATGTAGAAATTATATGATTCATCTTCAAATAGACACACATGTCCTACATGGCAACATACATGTCATTTTTTATCCTACGTGATATCTTACGTGTATTGTGTCATGTAGGACTAATGTGTCTACTTGTTCAACTTTATACAAGTTTAAGTGTCTACTTGTGTATACCCAAAGTTGGAGGACATATAACGTAAAATGTGGCCAAGATAAAGTGTTATTTTATTGTTTCTATTTTATCGAGTAATAACTCAATACTTCCACTATTAATATTTAACAAATATATTCTCAAGTTTTATTATCTAGTTTAATTATTTTTTTGGTAATGCTTATTGAATTGTTTCACGTATTGCAATATGACATTTATTTATGATTATCATTTGATACGCGCAAAAGCAAGAAAAATAAGAATTGAAATTTAATAGGGTCTGGCGTAGTTACATGTGTTTTGAAAATTATGGAGCGAGCCCAATTTGACCCTTATATTTTGACGGATCAGAAAAACATCAAATTGAACCACGCACTCCCGTGTGGATTGGGGGTTGCGATAGTTCATACCACATTTTAAAAATAAATATGTTTTTTCAAAAAAAAAATTTAGATGATTATGGTAAGAATGAAAAATCATTAATGCAATTGGACAAAAATTAGAGGGTTTTCCCTATTTTCGAAAGACGCCGCACTATTTAAGTTTCACAGTATATTCTTCTCTCGTGAATAGTGAAATATTGTCCCGTTAATCTTTTTCTCTCTTTATAACTTTCTTTTGATTTTATTCTCTAATATTATTCAAATCGTTAATAAAAAAGATTTTTAAACTTTATATCATCTTTTCTAAAAATCTACCTTTTGTTGTTATGGTACAAAATACATACTAATACAATTACTAAATGAAAATTTTAGTTTCAGATTTTAAAAAAAAAAATGATGTCTATGTACTTCTATTGTTTTTGCAACTTTTAGTAAACATTAAATTTTTTTAACAATGACCTACTTATTTTTTAGGATGACCAAAGATTTAGAAAAAAAATATATATAGTGTGAGTGATTGAAATTTTGACTTGACGTTTCATTTTTAAAATTATTGAGTAAAATATCCACTCTCCACCAAGTAATTTAGTTCTCTGATTTTCAAATATTAATGTTGCATATAATTTTCCTTGTTCATATTGATGATTCATTAATTATTAATATGATTTTTATACATGTATGATGTTTGGACAGTAGGGCAAACCACCGTGGAGCTTATACTTGATACTCCAGATGTTTTTGAACTGACAAACTTTGAAGCATTGAGGCTGATAAAAAGGATTAGTTATTCAGACAAAAAATTCATTTTTTGGTAAGTATATACATACAAATAATAATTTCAGGATTGAATAATTTAATAATTCAATATAAATGTATATAATAAAGAAAAGGTGTGTGAGAACTAACTTTCACCATTAATATACAGTACTGCATGTATGGCGAAGCAGTGCATCAGGCTGCCCAAGCTGAGCACCTGCACGGACAATGGATATGCCGATTACATTTGTAATCGGGATCCATTACATTTAGGGTAATTAAGTTGTTTCTTTATTATCTTCATATATTTTGAAAAAATAATTAAAAGTAATTAGTATTTTTTTTTTTGAATTTAGATTCCAGGACGTTGAGCTTCTCAAGCTCGTACGTCTTCTCTTAAAAGCTTATCCAAATCTGCGTATCGATGTGGATGAAGCCCTTAGACATCCGTACTTTGGTGGTTCTAGACCTACTAGGTAATAATTTGATATTTACACCGTTAATTTAAAATATATATTTTAATTTTTTTTTCTAGTTCAATTTGATTTTTGGTGATGTTAATCGAGTTTTTTTCATTTTTGCAGCATGTTCAATTATCGTGCTTCTTTTGCATGTGCCTTGGCTTGTGCTGTGATTTTTGCTAGCTTTTTTATTTGAGTGAAAATTTATCGGAGTACACCACAGGGAGAAAACAAGACCAAAAAGGAGTTGAAAAAAATAGAAGAAAAATAGGAAGAAAAACAAAAAGCAGAACTAAAGATTTCAATTGGATCTGGAGCCTGAATTGTCCTATCACCTCATGATTTTTTCTCTACAATGTACTGATTCTGTTTGTGTCACATGTAGAAGGCTCGAAACTATTACACATATTTTCTTACAATGCAAC